TCTTCGGACAATTAAATTCCTAAATATTTTGAAGAAATTAAAAGACTCATGTTCCCATCGCTGATTTTAATGGGTCTACGGTCCATGGCCTATAATATTTAACACGTCATTGTGCTGAGGACATTTCAGGAAACGCTAACTCAAAATAAATGTGTCATCCGATCGCTACATTTAGTTTTATCGTCAACTCGATCCCTTCACCCGCTTTCAGGTATAAATGTTTAAAATATGTATTAACAATAATATTCAAAATTTATATCATGAAGTTTACGTGCTCTAAACACTATTTTTTTTGAAGCAATGAGATGTCTAAACCACTTCCAATAATTATCTTTATTTTTTTACATGTAACGGTGTTCATATTTATATTTTAGGGAAATTTAAAATGCAATAATAACATTTATTTTCCTAATATTTTCCGACCGATTCAAGATATTTTTACTAATTGAAAAATTCAATGTTAATACTATCCGAGTTATATGTAAACAATGAAATGTTCAGTTTTCGAAAAATAAAGTATATGAATTTCAATCACTGTGCATAATATGGAATTTATTATTCTTTTTTATTGTATCCCTTCTTTTTACTATTAGAGCTTGGAATAACAGGGATATAGAACGTTATAGAACTTTTCTAACCATCGAAATCTTTCAAATTTCCAGATCTACAAATTTTAAAATGAAAAATTATTAAGTTTTTACGTTGTGAAATTTTGAAATTTCCAAAGGTCCAAATCTGTAAGTACCAAAGTTTTAAATTCCCAAACCCTCAATTCTCAAATTTTGGATTTCTCAATTTTCTGGCTTTCAAATTTTCTAGTACGCAGTTTTTTTCAGTTCTTTAAATACTAAACTTACATGTCCTCGAATTTCTAAATTCCAGATTTTCTAATTTTTAACCGACTTCGAAAAAGGAGGAGGTTTCTCAATTCGATCAGTACATTTTTTTTTTTTTTCCTATGTATGTTCGCCGATTAGGTCTAGCTGGATGGACCAATTGGAATGAAACCTTTTGCATCTGGTAGGTACAGACACCCCATTGGTACCATTATCAAAAAATTTTTCATTTTTTAATTGCAAAGTGTTGTTATTGCAAAAAAACCGGCAACTTTTGAAATAAACTTTTCTCGATTTTAGTGCACTTTTAATATCTTATCACGGACATGATTCTGAACAATTTTGTTCATATACAAATTTCACGGAAAGCTTTTGTTTTCGAGATATTAGCGAAAAATTGTTGTTAACTTTTGAAATCAACTTCGAACGATTCTAATGTCCTTCGAATATGTTATTAGGGGCGTGGTTCTGGACAACTTTTTCCTTTTGCATAATTGACAGAAAGCTTTTGTTTTCGAGATATTAGCGAAAATTGTTGTTAACTTTTGAAACCAACTTCGAACGATTTTAATATCCTTCTACATAATACGTTATTAGTGGCATGATTCTGAACGAGTTTTTCCTTATGCAAAATTGACGGAAAACTCTAGTTTTCGTGATATTAGCGAAAAACTATTGTTATTAATATTAGTGGAACGCCCCGTGCTATGCACGGGAAAGACAAGAAAGGGCAATTACAATGCACTGTACCAAAACACTAACTAAGCTTTACCGCTCTGACACGCGACTTATACAGCAAGATGAGTTCACGTTGACGTTGGTGTATTATTCCCATTGCTTGGTACAGTCTCCTTATCGTTCTAAAAATGCATCAATTTGATTTGTTAGAAAATTTGTTGCGCAG